GGTTCCCAAGGTGCATCATGTCAGGTATTACTTTAATGGGGTTTCAAAAACAGTCAATTTTCTAAGTCCTTGTTTTTACGTTGGGGTAGACAGAATGTGATCGAGAGGCGATCTCACATTGCAGTATCGAAAATCAAAAACATTATTAGATAGAAATATTTTGGGGTCTGCACATATACAGTATAAGTGGCCAATTTTAAATGAACTGTGACTGAAACATCTTTGTTTTACTCAACTGGGGAGAGGTTTTTGGAATAGAGCACCATATTGTTAAGCACTGATTGGATGAGTGTAACCGTTTGTGTTCTCGAATCAGAATTTCTATTGCTCTAAATTTGATTGGATTGTTTCGTCTTCCGTCGTTGAATTTGGTACTTAAAGGGAACACTTTTGTGACTAACTATAATTTGTTATCATGCATAAGTAGGCACTCACCGCAGACGGGAAATATACAAAGTAGTGTGTCATTGGGGGTACAGACTAGAGTATCTTCATCTGTAAAGAATATTTTAATCATGCTGTTAAATACATATTATTTATTTTGCTAAAAGAGCGCCATATTTTTCATCATCATATATAATATTTTTATGGATACCAGATGCCGGGTGATGTGGTACCGAGGATAGGGGTGTATCGCTTGCAGTTCCAGTTAAACTGTAGCCGAAAACATGAAGCTGACGTGATACCAACAATCCGTTCAAAATAATTACACTGTCAGTTTTCTCAGGATTTTAAAAAGCGAACGTCCGAATAAGTCTGGGGAATGCTAAAACGCAGAGCGTTTTTTAAATTGTTTTTGCTCTGATTTGATTTGTTTTCCTCTTATTTCCAAACTCAAAACGCTTAAAAAAGAGTTGGGGTTCGATTGTGATGAATCCCTCTCTAATACAGTGTGAAAAAGGCCGTTATCCGTGTGGAATGGCTCTGCCCACCAGACGTCTTTGTTATTCCTCGCCAAGCGAGGCGCGTAGCGCCGAGCGAAGTGAGTTTATAATCTCGTCACGAACCGCACGTGGGTCCTAGCGAGCTGCAAACTCGCAGCTCTCATCTTTACTTGTATATATCCGATGGCGTCCGCCATGACGTCATACAGCAGTTTGACGTCACGGCGCATTTTTGTTTCTAGGCAACATTCAACTGAAAGCGATTTCGAATTCACGAGGAGCTGTCTTTTCGTCGTCTGCAAAGCAATGTTTACTATCGGGGAATCTCAAGACATTTCTCATGCAAACCGAACAGCAAACATCGGCTCTCGGCAGCTGAACAGAATTGCTCAAACTCTCGTCAGCAGTTAAACCGTCCAATTCCAATTACTTTTGCAAGATTTATCTCCATTTATCGGAATGAATCGCTCCGTTTCTAGGTAAAAACACAACCTTCTTACAAACTGAAAAGTGACCCTGTGTTGTTTTAAAATGTTGAAAATGCTTCGCCATAATTTCGTATAATGTTAAACACCGTCACAGTCCTGTCCATTTTCATGACCCCCACTTACGTATACGAGATCTCAATAACCTGCAAAACTAGAAGTCCTCTACGGTTATATGAGGTTACTGGTGGTGAATTACAATAAAAACGGTGAAAAAAGAGTTCTCTACTCTTTTTTTACACCAGGCTTAAAAAAGAGCATAACTGTCTGATGTACTGATTAAAGATGTGTAAGGCAAGGGTAAGAGTCGATTATACATGGTTCAATTTGACTTATTACCATGCTTCCCCAGGAAACCCCCGGGATAAGTCCAGCCCTTCGGGCACGGGGGTGGCCTGGTTAATTGTTTGATACGGTGCTGTCCCAGGATTAAGGGGTGGGGTAAACCAAAAATTTCTTTTCTTTGTTTTTGCGGACTAATACATGTTATTTCTCGCGCAGTTTGCGTTATGGCTACGGACCTAAAGACTACGTCTTTTCAAGGGCAAACGCAGAAGTTTGCCGGAGAGTGGTTAAAGAGGAATAATCTATCAAAATTGAAGTCTGCAATTGAAGATGTGTTTTAAAACTTCAAACGAATGTGGGTGTGATGCCTACTCGAATGGATTTTTTTTGTAAAAGAAGCAAAGAAATGTTTCTTCAGCCTCGTTTAATAATAAGACAACTTAAAAAGACAGTATATGAAAACGGATACAAGGTTTTTAAATATGTATAAATAAACAGAGATTCAGTCGAGTGTTCAAGTTGTTAAGTGTTTTTTTGTATCATTTCAGGGTGGCGCCTTAGAGTTTTTTTCTTCGCGAGTTTTCGTTTTCAGATTTATTTTTTATGTTTTAAAACCCTTATATATGTATTATATCCTTCTCTCAGTAAATTCTAGAAAACGTATCGTGTTGCTATTTTATTATATACGTACTGAGAAATACTCACCAAAAAAGCTATGTCGTAAATTTTCGTACGCAAATTAGTTCTAGCCAATCAGAGGAGCGATAGTTTTCACACGTGAAAAAAATGATACGTCCAATCAGAATCCCGAACGATGTTTTTTCACGTGTGAGAGAAATGATACGTCCAATCAGAAGCCACAGAGGTGTGTGAGTTTCGCGCCAAAATTCCGGCCTTTTATTACAGCTGGCAGCGCCGCTTCGCACACATTCAACGAGAAAAGTTTTACTCGAAGAGTTTTTCTCGCTAAAAAAGTGAAAAACATTTCGGAAATGGAGTGGAATAGTTTCGTTTGTTTCACTGTCGATAAAGAAAACGCTAGAGAGCCGGCGAAACAACAGCGGAAAGGGATAAACAGAACGAGACGTAAGCTTTTGTTGTGCTTTTTGTCGGAGCTACTTTGCTGTTCGTTTAAGCTTAAGCTTATATTGAAACCGGCCATTCTACTTAAATTCACTCATTTTCAATTGTGCATTGAGAACAAACAGTTAAGATTACTTATAGTTCTTGGATACTTATAGTTCTTCTTTCAGCTCGAAGATATTAGCTTGTTAGCTACTCTAAAATTCGAGTATAAATAAAGTTCTATGTTATGTTATGTTATGGATTCCCTCATATCCTTACCGACATTTATGTTTTTAACTCGTTTTCGTTGTCATTTGGCGGTAAGTGTGGAGCGGCAAATTTTAGCATTTTTGAAAGATTTAAAATAAAAAGGCCGCCAAAATGATGAATGTCTCAGTTTGTATACAATAAACACAATACCACATGGAAAGTGCTTTGTACGTATTTACGCACTCGTTGTTTTTGTATCAGAAATCTTACTCGTTCACTGCGCTCACTCGTTCGATTTCTGATACGTCAACAACTCGTGCGTAAATACCGTACGCGAGCACTTTCCATGAAGTATTCTCTATGTACGGAAATAAATATTGCTCTTTAAAAGATGTGCCAAAAAACACGTATATGTGGTCGATCAGGAGCTCGGGGTTGTAATTGTAGTCTCTTTCTGCGTGCCCAGGGGTGGGGAATAGACTACCAAGAAAGAAAAAAATTACAAATCCCCGGGGGTATGCCGGGGGAGGGAATGGTAACAGGTCAAATATAATTGAACCATGCATTACGTCGAGCATGAAATTGGCTAGATGTTTTGTTTGATGTTGGGGTAATAAAATAGGTAAACTCAACAAAGACAACTTCTTTGTGCAGCCAATTTGGTAATTTTAAATTCATCATAAAACAGTTCGAAAACAGCAATAATTTGTAATTAAAGGGAAATTTTGAACACAACATTAAAATAAATAATAAAATCAATAAAATGGAAACATACGAAATGTTCTGGCCTTGGAAAAGCTGTAATCTAAACGGTGGACGTTCTCAATGACCGATGGTTGCTCCGGACGTGATACAAACACCTTGATATTCTAACGATCATCTTTCAAATCAAAACCTCTGAGAAACAAGTAAAAGTCTTGCAAGATTCTTCTTCAATATTCGGGTTCTTTTTCCATATTCGGTCAAAGCCGTGCCTGGTAAAATGAGTAAAAGATAGAAAGCTCAAAAGATTGTCCATCCACATGGCTACGTGGAGGTCAGCGGTTAAATTTGCGTCGTGACTTGGATGGTTGCCCACTTTGTTTTTGGCCTTATGAACGACGCAACGGTAGATTTGTTCCACGCTGCATGCACACAATGCAAACAAAAAAACTTCAAAGCCTTTCCTTGATACTTTGAGAAGACCAAATATGATCGATCTTTGACTTTTTTGCTCGGAAGTGAGAGAATCAACGTTTGTAGCCGTTGTCGGCCACAAATTAAATTATTGAATAAGACCAGAAGTCAAGATAGCAGCAATCTTCTCTAAGCCAACGCGTGAAAAACCACGGTAACAGTTGATTGACGTCCAACAAAGCACAGGTTTCAACCGAAGAAAAAAACCTTTGAGGGTGCCTGTTTGTGGTAACCGCTGCACATTTACTAACTCTAGATTATTCATGCTGTCCTATGCAAACTTTAGAGCCGTAGCTTGAGAATATCACAACTTCGGTCTTACGATTATTTCAAAACAGATAGTTCTTATGTGTCCAGTCAAGAGCTATCACAGACCTTCTCGATCACCATGGCATTTCTATGAGCAAAGAAAATGACCTCGTCATCAGCGTATAACAGGATACTGCACTGCGAAGCTGAATCTAGAAGATCGTTTTAAGTAAAACAAACAAAAATAGACCCAAAATAGAACCCTAGGGCACACCAGAGTGTAGGTCACAGGAATCAGAGAAAAAAGACTGGTACCCGCACTCGTTGAGTCCTATTACTGAGGTAGTCCTTAAACCAGTACCTTTTCAAATGTACGAATGTTACATAGCCAAAGCAGCAATGTGTGTATATTGCTTAGTCGAACGAGAGTCCGATTCAAATAAACGCAGACGAAAATACAAATTGTATGACAGGAAATTAGAAATGAATTGACTTCAAATTACTGGCAATCATCAGAGTAAAGAGGGTGGCTGGAGGAGACAATACTTTATTTTTAATGCAATTAACTAAGATATCAGTAATAAACCTTTTCCTTAGTTCTAAATAAGTGCGGCCTTCAAGGAGATCAATGAAGCGACGGACTGTC